AATCCATCTTAGTGCTTTTTAGAGTAGCTATCAAATCTATCATGCGTATGATCTGTTTCCAACTTACTTGTTCATATCAAGCGCACATATGCAAGACTACCCCATATGTGCATGTGATTCAAACTAAGATTTAGTAAAAAAAACACAGCTCAAACGGTATCCTTGAGACAGACTAAGATGGAATGCAGTTCATAATGTGCATTGATATCATTAACGCTAAACTCTTAAATGAAAGAGATAATGTAGCATAATTGATCATAGATCTAACCATGTTAAACAAAATTCTATTATTCTTATTTGACACCTAAATCAATTTAGCATCAATTGCGGAAAACTGGTACACAACATCCTTATTGACCATATAGTCTTTGCAGTATCCCAAGAAATACTCATATCCACGATCAGATCGAAGTGTCTTGATAAGTTTACCTAATCTTTGCTGCACATCAGTCTTAACACTCTCGCAATATACCAAAAGTTTAAGATTTGTGTCGCATCAGGTAAATTTATTCAAAACATGAGTAAACTTATTTTTGAATCATGCTTGGGACCTTATTTTTGAAGATCTAATTACAATGGTTTTAATAACGAAGGCTATAGGGTAATGTATAAAAATTCTCGTTCCCACTCAATTTTTAATCATTCATAATTAGGGTTTTTATTTTATTCATTTACATGATATAATGCATGCAAAACGTCTTAATTTTAATCCAATTAAATTTAGAAAATATTTGGACTTTAAATGATTCGCTAATATTTAATTTGAAGCACACTTTAAAAATAATTTACAAAAATAATTTTTCGTTTCCCAATAAGTGCCCTCAAATTAATTATTAATCAAATCCAATTAATTTTCATAATTTAATTAATATAAATCAAATCATTTAATTAAATATCATGGATCCAATGCATAAATAATAATTAATAAACAATTATCTATTCTATGCATCACATACATCAATTAATGACAGATAAAGCAAATAAAAATGGCCAATGGAATCAGCTTTTAACATTTAATTGCTCTAAGTATTGCGTGAGGGTCTTTCGTCGACTTATAAACACCCGCAGGAGGTTGGTATGCGCCTGAAGAGGTAAAACAGCACATAGGACGCGATCGGAGAGTTCGCAGCACGTCCCCACGCGCTGGCACGTACTTGGGGAGTGTGCAAAGAGTCCTTATGCGCTCCCACGCGCTGGAGGGAGGTGGCATTGCTCGTCACGCGCCTGCACGGGCGCGTGGGAGTTGCCAGCGCGTGTCACATGCTGGCACGCGCCTGTTGGCACGTGTTGCATCGACGCGTGCTCCTGTCGCGCTGGCATGCGCCTGTTGGTGCGTACTGCATCGGCGCGTGCTCCTCACGCGCCCTTGGATTGGGTGCTCATTAACGCGCATATTAAGTGCGCTTCACCGGATCTTCACCCTTGCCTATGCTGATCTAATGGTTGCAGATCCGGTTGCATGGAATGTTGGTGCACCGCATTGCACCGGATCGACAGCCTTACTCCGGCGCCACCTTTGCCGCCGACGGTGCTCCAGCCACTGGAAAATTGCTGGAAAAATATTTAAAAACCCAGAATATTAAATTAAGCCCAAAAAAATTCCAGAAAAATTCTGAAAAATTTCAGAAAAATTTCAGAAAATTCCTGAAGCATAATTTAACCCTTTTGGACCTTCTTGAAGCTTCATAGCTTCCTTTTATGAAGATTACATGGCTTTAAATAAATTTACAATTGGAAATACAATAAGAAAAATTAAATTACATCATTGAACTTTCAAACGGCTAAATCAAAGCCTTAATTACATTCATCCAAAAATAAAATTACATTCAATAAGCCTATAAACTTCATCCATGGCCCAAACACACATCATCATCCATTCACAATTATACATACATCATTATGTATCAATATATTAATTCATACATCAACATACATTAATAAATAAATATATGCATATTAAAATTGGATCCATGAATGATGAATTTTGATAAAAACATGATCTCTAGTAATGAATCAAACCATACTCTGATACCACTGTTAGGAAACGTGCCTGTTTTAAAAACTTTTCAAGGGATTTCCATTCACAGATCTTGATTCATCACATAGAGACAAGTTTTATGCAAAAATACAATATGATGTATTATTCAATTAATGGATTGAATACTTACATCAAAGGTCTGAATAAACCTTTAAATCTTTCCTCTAAAGTGAACGTTCTCACTTATTGTAGATTCCTTAGCAAGATGCCTTCTCCTTAGATCTCCATCTTCTTGGTAATTGTTTTGCCTTTAGGAATCACTCATAAGCCTTTATGAATGACCTTGGAAAACTAGGCTTGTGGGAGCCTCCATTAGATGAGAACATTAACCTTAATTTTCTAGAGAAAGAAAATAGATTCTTTTTTCATTTTCCAAAAAAAATCACTCATAAAATATACATAGACCATGTATATATATAGGCAACATAAAGATAAAGAAAAGGAAACAATAAATCCTTCTTAATCTCTAATTCACATGTCTCAAATTTAATAGGATTCCAATATCAAGTTGGACTATGAGTGAGAATTCTTTGGGCTTATTATTTTATTGGCTATAATGAATTAATAATTGGCCCGGTCCATGGACCCAATTCAATTAATTCATAAATTAATTTCTACTCCACTAAAAGAAATTAATTGAACTCCAATTAAATAATAAATAACCTCTAAGTCAATGTTGCACTTTGACCCCTCTATGCATAATTAGTTATCGGATAAATATAGGCATCAATCCGACTACTTAATTAATATATTTATTTTGGTACCTTTGATTATTTCTGACTCGATCACAATAAAGCATTTGTTTGACAAAAATAATAATTTAAATAAATAAATGTATAATAAATCATTATGTCTAAAAACACACGAAGGCCTTCGAATTTACTTTGTGATCAACCATAATTAATATAAAATAAATACAAGTAGCAATGATGCAAATATTGAAAATATAACCCTTTAACTATTAATTACATAACTACCCAAAGTGTCGGTCTAAGGATCCCGAAATATCCGCTGAACAAATCAAAGTAATTATTAATTAATAAAAGAATTTATACTTTTCTCATACTTAAGAGTCAAATACCATGACAGTGATAGGGAGCAATTGCATACGATAGCTCTCGCAGTATATCTCAACCTAACGCGGATCCAATTCAAGTCTTAATTAATTATGAGTCCATCCATAATTACCGACTATGAACAATTTATGATTACTATTTATATTCATGTATTGATCGTCATCACATACATATATAAATATTTCTTGTAATCAAGTGGACACAATCAATTCTATAATAAATCGAAACATAATACATTGAATTCACCAATTGTATAAAGTATAAATATTTCAGAAACCTTAGGAACTTATGTCACTATAATCCAAATGAGAATTTGCTATGCCAGGACATGTAACTCCCAACAGTTTGGTCCAGCTCCAATAAGCCCTTCTCAGTTAAGGATGCTTGTGAAGATGTCAGAGTCAACCATAACTTGTGGGGCTGTTTGATTCAATGGAGGTGTTCCAAAGCATTGTTTCATCCTCTGGCTTGCTGCTAAGGATAGACTAAGCACTATGAACAAGCTCCTTCAATGATGTATGGCTCAATCAGACCAATATATCCTTTGCAAAAGGACTGCTGAAAGTGTTCAGCATCTATTCTTTATAAGTCAGTATGCCTTGATCTAAGAGTCTGTTGCTATTGCTGTTTGAGATTCTCAAATGGAGCAATCACAAGTGTCAGTCTAAGAGGAATTGGTACCATCAAGTTTGCAAAATCTTCACATGATTTGGAGAGAAACAAACTCTGTAAGATACTCCAATTCATATTTGGATGAATTCTCTGCGTCTCTTCAAATTACAACTTGATTAGACTTAAAATGTTGCCCTTTCCTGCAACTAGATTCAAAAGGCATACTGTTGAATACATTCCTTTCTGGAATGTTTGATTCTTTCTGTTGGTTTGCTGTTGAGCTTTGGTTAGTTCTTGTTTGTACTATTGGGGAATGCCCCTTTTAATTCTGTGCTGTGTTTTCTTGAATAAAATAGATAACTTATAAATAATAATAATAATATTACAAAATAAAAAATCTAAGTTGGAATAACTTGAAGTTATATCAGCCTGCTTCCTTTGAGGTTTTGAATTATATAACAAATTGCCCCATGCCGTTAAGTACTTGACATATTATGTTGATGTCAGCATGAGAAAATTGTTTGAGGGTCAATTTTGCTCTTCTAATGTTTAAAATGATATATTTAACCTCACTGACCAATGTATAGTTACCAATCCATCTATGACCTATTTAACACCAATGTACCAAATTGACCATCCTCTCACATTAACAAACCCGGAAACATCACACCCAATTCACCACCACCACTGCAAAAGAACACGACACCCTTCTTGGCCTTGGCATTCAAAAATAAAGCGAAGAGGTTACTACATAGCCTTTATCAACACCTCTCTTAACATCAAGAAACTCCAATTTTCTCTCCTTCCAAACACCCGACTTGTAGAAACATTTTTGAAAACCCTGTAATAATAAAAGAGCTAAAGGAGAAAAGCCCTAAATTAATTCCTGAAGATTAACCCTCATTAATCCAAATACACTCAATCTACGGCCCTTGTCTTCAAAAACCCGAAAACTATATATATATATATATATATATATATATATATATATATATATATATATATATATTCTTTCCAAAACTGTAACTAGATATAACTAAGAAAACAATACCGCTCCTGTAACCTGATTTAAGGGGTTTTTCTCTTTTGCCTAACTGCATTAACTTAAAAAATTAAACATTCATATATATATATATATATACACACACACAAATAGTTGTTGATTTTTTATATTATTACTATGTTCAGCTATCCAAATTTATATATTTAAAAAAAAAAAAAAAAAAAACGAAGAGTTGGTATGATAATTTTTTTTTGTTTGACATGTTACTCAGGTAAAAGATTATGTAATTGGCCGAGTCAAATGGAAGGGAAGGTGATGTCAATGGAAGCTAAAGGAAAGGTGATATCAATCGAACCAAAACAAAAGGTGATATCAATGGAATCGGGACAAAAGGTGATATCAGTGGAAGCTTAACAAAAGGTTATATAAGTGGAACGGGAACAAAAGGTGATTTCCAGTTCTAATTGTTCACTGGTAGAGACTGGTTTGGTTTAAGCCTTCTATCCTTGCCATTACTTCATTCTATGGTAGAGATTGGTTTGTTATTACATGGTCCCAGGACAATTGGTCTTGGACCAATCATACCATTGTGTGTGCAAGTTATTCAAGTGTCGAATGGTGATGACACAAAAATTTCATAAGACAAACAACCATTTTGAATCAAATTATATTATGCTAGTAGTAGCAGCATCTTCTTTGAGAATTAAGGGAGAAGAAGGTTGTATCAGCCTTGTGAAAGCCCATCTCTCACACATACACATGTATATATCAGATACATTTTAATTAAAGGTCGACAATCAATTTATCTTCATATATTTATTAAATTTTGCACAAAGTTACACACATAACCCAAACACAGTTAAAAGTAGGGTACAGTACTTGATTGTAGACAATCTAAATCAAGCTAAGAGGGACCAACTATCTGCATAAAAAATGTTGGGCAACATCAGTGTTTCACTGTCCTCTAAATGTTCTTGATTCTGGAGGAGTTGTGTAGCAAAATCGTTCAACCAATCCATGCGATCTTCTTCTGGTTGCGTTAGTACTGTTGTTCCATCAAATTCGATTGCTTGTGTGATGAGGTTGCTGCAGTCAAAATCGTTCAACCAATCCATGCAATCTTCTTCTGGTTGCGTTAGTACTGTTGTTCCATCAAATTCGATTGCTTGTGTGATGAGGTTGCTGCAGTCTTCAGCTTGCATTAGTACTAACGACAGTAATTTGGGCAGTCTTCAAGTGCCGGAGTTACAGTCACTTTGCACTCCTCTGCTTGCATCACCTTAACTTGGGATTCCACCTTAATTTCTTCCCGCTTTTGCCTTTTAATTCGGCAAATTACATAATCTTTGTCCTGATTAACATATCAGATCGACGGTTGAATTGTAAAAATATAAAAAATAAAATAAAATTTGGAAAGCTGAACAAAGCTAGTAATACTATAAAATCAACAAGTATATAGTGTGTGTATATGAATAAAATCTAATTACGGTTTTAGTAACATAAAAAACAAGGTGCCACAAATATATACAATATTATACAATATAAGAGACATATATACACACACTGTACTTTTGCTTCTTAAAGATTAGTGCCGGCAAGAATGTATTCAGTCATGCTCCATCCACTCTTAGCCTTCGCCGTCTTACCATCCGATTTCATCCTATATGTAAAAGTTCTCTTCTTTCCTATCAAAGAAGCTGTTCTTGATCATCTTCTTCCCGGGTACCAGTAGTACCATTGACATATTTTATAGGTTTAGCCTTGTCTTGTCCCTTCCATGTACCCATCGTCGTCGTCACACGATCGATCCTCGAACCGTTTCCGTGTTTCTTCTTCAACTTGGTGAAAAAATAAAGAACTTTTTCTTCCGAACCCTCGGAAAGCTCCGAGGGCTCCATGCCGTAAATGTCACAGTCCTTCACAACACCCTCCCATGGCAGGGCTTCTTCCTTCGCCTTGCACACAAGATACTGAATTAACTCACTGTCGGTTGGATGAAACTTATAACCAATGAAAATTTCTTCCATATCTTTCCTGATCAGCAGCACCTCGAGTCACCTCTTCACATGCAATAACTCCCTGTAAAGCTAGACGGAGTTGAGCCCTATTGATTTGGTCAGCCAAGGACTCCAAAGCGCTAGGTCTATTCCAGAAAAGCAGTCGGCGGTAGGTGCAGTAGTCTTTCTTTGTAAAACCTAAAATCCGATTTGCCGCCTCCAATTTGGTCTTTATTTGGAAAACCTAAAATCTAGATAGAAATGATGAGAGCCGAGCGTTCCTTGGCCTTTTTATATAGGTAACTTACTTGCCATAAAGGTTAACGCCTCCAATTTAGAAATTAAAGACAAAAAAAAAAAATTATCTAATAAATTGACAATTTTACCCTCTCACCCCTCCAACCCAATAACTTCTGTTTTTTTTTTTTTTTTTTTTTTTTTCTCTCTCTCTCTCTCTCTTTAGTTGAGAAATAAAAAATAAACAGAAAGAAAGACCATTGATCCCTTCAACTTTTTGGTTCGGGCGGTGATTTTGATTTAAAAATTTTATTCTACTTCCACGTAATGCAAAATAAATTATTTCAAATTGGTAAGCCGATTTAGCTTTGCCAATTTTTTTTTTTTAACTAATTTACCTAACTTGCTATTTTTTCCTTTTTTTTCATTATATACTTATAAAATATTGAAATTACCCCCTTAAAATTATTAAAAAATTCATTCTTGCCCCTACCTAATGCTTTGGGTCAGTACGACAATTTTTTTTTTTTTTTGAAGGAGATGTAGGAGGGTAAAATTTTCCCAGGGATAAATTTTGGAGTGCCAATATCATCACATTTTTCATAAAATACTATAAAATTGGTACAAAAAAATTAGAAACAAATTATCATTAATCAAGTAACGTTAATTGGGTTGTGGATTTAAATGAAGACTTTTTATAATACCAATTTGATTATTGTTATAATTTGGTTAGATTTAAGCCAACTCATTCACCTGGGGTTAAAAAATAATAATAATAAGTGACATTCTGTCATGCAATTTCTAATGTACGAAAGAAAAAAAATATATTGTGGTTTTTCATCAAAGATTTTATAACAAAATTTGAATAATTTTTGTAGCAACTTAAAAAATTAGTTACATCATTGTTTGACCAAAACTTAAGTGCAATTTACTCATAGAATAATCATCAAGTCTACCAGTTGTATAGCCCCTCCCACGCTGTGAGTTAAAGACAATTATTTACAACTTAAACACTTTTCAGATGATGATATCTTTAGATTTGGTAAAATGAATAAAGACACCCCAACGATAAAATACAATAAAAGTACATACTTGCCTTTGACTTCTGAATTGACCCATGTGAAATATTGAATTACCTTTATAATCTCCTATTAATTGACCAAAATAGCCCTCAAGAATGAAAAAACAAATATGATTGCATTGTGACCTGTTTTTTTCTTTTTTCTTTTTTTCTTTTTTTTCTTTGTTTTTGTAGAAGAAAAATGTGACAAGTTGTGTAAATAATGTTTTAGTAAACACTAAGAAATAAAAAGATTAGTTTATGTGTGATATTTAATATATGGCTATTAAAAATGGTCTTTTAATATTTAATATATTACTACGGAATAATAAAAAATATATATTTAAAAATCATATTTCTTACTTTTTGAAATGCTAAATAAGAGTTTGGTATTAGAATTTTGTTTAAGTATTAGATAATATAATTAATCCATCTATTTCAGCGAGCATATTAAACTTGGAAAGAAAAAATTTTCTTATAATGATTTTATATTATTTTAAAATTTTAATTTTACATTACTAGTTACCCCCTTAAAAAATTCTTGGCTCCACCCTTGTTTGTTTGGCAGTCACAGTGGTGGAGTTTGGTGGTGGTTTTTTTTTTTTTTTTTTTTTTTTTCAAAGGGTCATTTTGGTCAAATAAAAAGACTTATAAATGTTAATATTATACTTTAATGATTTAAATGGGCCAATTTAATAGTCTGGCAATTACGTACGGAAGTTGTTGTTCAAGTTTGCGAATTTGGGAATAATTGGATTGCACTTTCTCTAAATTGTATCTATCTATCTTTATTATAAAACAAAGGAAATATGAGTACAAATTATCTGATATTCTCACCGGGGCGCTCCCCTTATAGTATGGTATTAATAACTTTTAATAATCGATACATCCTGTCAAAATAATTGTTTCATAATTCTAAGCATACCCGTTTGGGGGCATATCTATAATTCAATAATTAAAAACTCTAAGACTGCCGGTGAGAATACTTATGCAAATTACGTGTGTCTGCAAATCATAATGTTCTCTCATCACTAAAAATAATTTCGTAATCTTTTACCAAAATTGCTTATGTTTCTAGTGACCCTGAGGTTGACATTTATTCTCTTAAAAAGGGCTGTTGGACAAGAATTAGTGTTTCTGGTACCATACCCTGTATCCGTTTTGATTCATCTCATGCTTCTCTCAATGGGACTATCCACTGGATTTCTGAGCCCGGTGATCGTTACCCGTTCATTGTGTCTTTTAATTGTTAGGACACAGCGGAAGCAAAATAAAGAAAGAAAACAATAATTCAAACCACAACACAAGATATATACGTGGTTCACCCAAAATCAGGGTTACATCCACGGATGAAAAAAGATTTATTATATATGTAGAGATATTATAATAGTAGAGAATTTCAACACCAGACCATGCACACAAACTCTTGACCGAATTCTCTGTGTATGCTACGAGACTCCCTCTCGCCATCAGTGTTCACTCTACCAAACTCGTAACTCACCCCTACCATCATTGTACTCCTCATGAGGCTACATCTCTCTCAATTCATAACTCTCAACAATAGCCTAAGTGTCTATTTATAGAGTCACATACCCAATTCCTTTGTGGACAATGATTACAATTTCTTAGAGCCCCATTCACGTATCTATAAGAAATTACCATAAAATTACACTCTAAAATCGAAACTAATAATAATGGGAATTTGAGACATAATTCCTAACAATCTCCACCTTGGCTCAAATTCCATTACATCAATCATCGCTTCTTATGGCAATTGAATCTGGACAACTCTCTGCAACTTCAATCTTCGCGATCTTATTGCAGAACTCGGATTATCCCCTCACTATATGTGATACCCCCGAATTTTCGAATTCGGGTTGGCCAGGCCCATGCCCGAATACTCGAGGATATCAAAACAAATTGATAATAAACGAACACAGAGTACAAAAGAATAAAGAAGAATAAATAAAATGCTGACAAGAAACTAAAATGATAATCTAATAATAAACCTCATAATATATTTTCATTAATTAATAAACTCTTCTGATACAACTGATCCTCCAAAATACAACGCGGGAATCCATATTGTGTGGACCCCTAGAAAATCCAAACTAAACAAATGACAGTAATCTAAAACAGGAAACTGAATCATAAAGGAACTCCTATGTAGCATCGGAAGAATGAAGTAGACTGATCCCCGCTCAGCACGAACAACCTCTACTCGTGACGAACACCTGAAAAATAATGGTGGGTCAGGCCCACAAACAAGTTCTACTCTACTACAGTCCAAGCAGAGATCCGATACACGTATACATCCTAGTCAATCCAACAATAACTAGTAGTCCGTATATATATATATATATATATACACACACTAAAGGAACCTCACTAGACTATAGGGTTGTCTCAACCTGAATAGTAGGCAACATGTAAAACGCACATATAGTGGGCATGAGTACCTAGACCTACCAGGGTACACAACTACACTATATCTAGTTACACATCCCTGGCGATATA